TTTTTTTAACCTGCGAGCTGCGGAACTGGTCTTTCTTCTTTGCACTTTATCGTGAAAATTTTCACAAAGATTTTCTTTTGCACGCACCTATCCGTGTTGATCAATCGCATTACGCACTTTTTGTACACGAAAAGACATTGCGTTGGAACGTATGTTTGGTAAAGATTGCAGTTTGCAGCAGAAATTGGGTCGAAGATGACAGAAGTTGCTTTTGTAGGGATCGAAAATCTGTTTTCTTGGTGAAAGTCGTGCGCGTGTACTGGTGAAGTCGTGCGCGAGTCGCGCTCCACTCCAATAGAGTAGATTCTGTGTAGAAACTTATTTTGAGAGGATAACAACGAGGCTTGCTACTTCCTACTGCAAAAGACCTAGTCAGGCTAAGCGTAAGCAGGGTTGACAAGCGCGGCTTGCGCACGGCATTGTCAGCACTTCATTTGGTAGAGGATCAGGTTTGGAAGTAAATTTGCAGGATATTAAACTTGCTGGTTTATCTGTGCAGAGTGTTTGTGTCTTCGTTACATAAAACGCGCCTATCTTTTTCTGATTTGTTCTATTCGCTACTCCCTTGAGGCCCTGCGCGAGTCGCGAAAAGGTACCGTGCATGGTTCCATAGCATAATAATGATGAAAGGAGGTTACGTCTTTGGAAAAGTTGTGAGATCTCGTGTACGATTTCAATCTGCAATGGAGTAGCCATTTTTTCACATATAATGCGCGAGTCGCGCAGCATTGGCTAGGATTAGCGGTATTTTACAGGAGAAAATATAAGGTTGTATGCGCAAGGAGAAATATAGCCCGAGTGAGTAAACATTGAGTAAACATAAGTATATGGATATAAACGAGGGCGATCGAGGGTAATGAGTTTAACCTCGTTATTATAAATGGTAACGTTCCAGTGAAACAGACAATGGGTTTAAGAAAAAGCTAAGGTGCATTTTCTAACCTTTTTACATGCATTCATTGACATAATTTTTTTCAGAATCGGCGAGCTGAAAAAGTTCTATGGGCGGTAGCACTTTTGTCGTTAGTGTTCATCATCGCCGAATTTACCGGTGGCTTATTCGCATCGTCGTTGGCCATCATGACCGATGCTGGTCACATGCTGTCAGACTTACTCTCATTCATCATCTCAATTATGGCCATAAGAAGTGCAAGACAACCACGTACGTGTTTACAGTTATATTGCAAAGTTTGAGGGAGATTTTGGTTGGAGATGGGGGGAGGGGAGAATCATTTTTCATGACCGGGCGCTGAATGAAAAGGTGAAAAAAAGACATTTGCTTTTTGCTTGACTGGAAGCGCAGGAAAATGATTTATGCTTGTTTATCTAGATAACATCTTAATTAGTTTTGTAAACGCAAAATCTAAGGCCTTGAAAAGTGTAATTTCCTTTCAAATCGACATATGTTGCAATTTTTAGCCAGCAAAAGGCTCTCATGGGGTTACGAAAGAGCCGAAATCCTTGGAGCAATGGTTTCAATCATTATTCTTTGGGTCTTGACCACAGTACTTGTACTGTTGGCCATTGAACGGATAGTCAACAATGACTTGAGTAAGTTTTTTGCAGTTTTTATTCCCATCGATCATTTTTGCATGATTTTTGGCAATATTGGATGTGATTGCTGATTTTTAGGTGTTGACGCAGACATTATGCTGATCACCGCCGGTGTTGGCGTAGGCTTCAACATTATCATGGGTGGTGTATTGCACTTTGGCAGTGGTGGACATGGACATGGTCATGTAGGACATGGGTAAGTTCGTT